GCCATATGACGACGACGTGCCATATGATGACGATGTGCCATATAATGATGTGCCATATGACGACGACGTGCCATATGACGACGACGTGCCATATGATGACGATGTGCCATATGATGACGATGTGCCATATAATGATGTGCCATATGACGACGACGTGCCATAAGATGACGACGTGCCATATGATGACGATGTGCCATATCATGAAGTGCCATATGACGACGACGTGCCATAAGATGACGACGACGTGCCATATGATGACGATGTGCCATATAATGATGTGCCATATGACGACGACGTGCCATAAGATGACGACGTGCCATATGATGACGACGTGCCATATGACGACGACGTGCCATATGATGACGACGTGCCATATGATGACGACGTGCCATATGATGACGATGTGCCATATGACGACGACGCGCCATTTAATGATGATGTACCATATCATGATGATGTGCCATATGACGACGACGTGCCATAAGATGACGACGTGCCATATGATGACGAGAGCTTGATTCAAATTGCCAAGATATGACTGTGACTTGACTGTGAAATAGATTGTCCACTACTTATATGTGAGCTTCACAGGAACAACAAGAAGAAAAAGAGACACGAAGAGAAGAACCACTGTGTTCAAGGAAAACATGAGAAGATGGTTTGGGATTCTGGATCTACTAACCAGATCCAGAGTAACTGTAGGCAGAATTTCAAAATGCATAAGCCAAAAATGACAGATGTCACAAGTGGCACTAAGCATATTACTCAAACACAAAGAAATATGGGTAATATTTTACATAAAGCACCCATGTATAATGCATTATAGATACCTTCATAATGCATTAATAAAGTATTACACACATGGCTATAAGTATTTATAAAAAGGCATAATGCATTATAGCCATGTTTATTATGCATTATGAATGCTATATGAAGCTCTCATTTATAGTGCACTATAGATACCTTTATAATGCGTATACTGTCCATTATTACGCATTATGAAGGTATTCATAGTGCATTATAGATGAAAGCTTCTTATAGCATTCATAATTCATAATGAATGTGGCTATAATGTGTTATATATATCTATAGCCATGTTTATAATACTTTATGAATGTATTGTTATGCATTATGAAGGTATCTATAATACACTATGATGACTGTTTTAAGTAAAGTATTATGAAATATGGAGTTCTTCCAAATGAATAAAGGAGTTAGACAGGGTTTGCTTAGAATTACCATACAGTACTTACTGAACTTGCATGCAAATGTTAATTACAGTAGCTGGAGCAGAAGAAGACAGTCTGTGGGCTCAATACTGGAAGATAAATATTCAGCTTTCGATTTGCAGATAATATCTTAGAGCAGAAAATGAAGATCTGAAGAGACTTATATGTGAAAAGATGGGACTACAGGTAAATTTGAAGAAAAGGACGATTATGACCAAGGACTGACAGCTAACTGTATTGTTGATTGTGAGGATGCAGAGGTTACAGACAGCTTTTGCCTCCTTGGAACAACCATCAACAGCAAATGATCCAGCAGTCAAGAAATATGTCGAAGACTGGAACTTGACAGAACAGTGATGAATGACCTAGTAAAAAAGTCCTAATGTATCCCTTCAAGAACAAATATCAGAAGTGTTCAGAATATGGTCTATGAGTTTTTTTTTAATAATTCCACATATAGGCCGATAAAAATGTAAAATTAAAGAGTATATACAGGTAACATTACAATAAAAACTTTTGCCATTTCAATGCTCTATATCACATGTGTGCCGTTTCAATGGACTGTTGATGTACCACTACATTCATGCACGTGACATATAAAAATTTTAAATCTTGAATTTCAGGGCAGGGGATGACAACCATCAAACCTCCAATGATTATGCTTTGTTCGTTATCTGGCTGAATTAATCCTTCATACTTAATGACTAGAGTGATTATAAGTCAGGGTTCCCTAATTCCGGTCCTGAGGGCCAGTCTGTGACACAGTTTACAGATTTCACTGGTCAGACACGCCTACTAAGCCTGGCAATTGGCTGGTGAGCTGAATCAGTTGTGTTTGAGGAGGGAAAGCTGCAAACTGTGTTACAGACTGGCCCTCCAGGACTGGAATCGGGGAAACCCTGCCTTACGAGGTATAATCACTCAGGTCATTATTCATTGTTAGGAAACAGCTTTACTCACCTGTGCTCTTTGGGATGCCCAGCATATTGAAAACACCCCAAAGTCAGTAATCTGTAAACGTGAAGGACAGTACAATGCCTTTCAGTACAGTCACATGACGATTCTGGACCATAGAGCCAGCTTTAGTTGAGAGCTGAATGCATCCATGGTGTTTTTAGAACTTTCAGCATGGAGATGGGAGAAGAGATGGAAGGGCCTAACAGGCCACAAGCAGCGATTCGGCAGAGCATTCTCCTCCCAGTCCCCCTGGGACTCAATCTCCTGCTCTGACCTTTATGTCTGCGGCGGTTTTCTACCCTCAGCCGTCCTACTGCAGACAGGGGAGAGGAAAACAAATCTCAATGTGTTCTCATTAGTTTACGCCGATGTCAGAAGGGCCTGGATTAGCTGTCAATACAGCGCATTTAGCTGGACGATGACAGCCCTCTGTGAGAATGAGTTATATAACATGTATCTGTGTAAACAGTCCACCAGCAGGCAAGACTGCAGAGGTGTGCAGGTAATGCAACTTACACTACAGCTTATTTAACAAAGCCTCTACCTGTTTGGGCCATTCGTAGCTATTCTGTATGAAATTAAAAAAGAAAACGCGATATCTCAGATAGATAACAGACAAGATCAGAAGCACCATGGAGAAAAAGAAGTAATTTTTTTTTTTACTTGTTTCAACAAGCCCTTTACCTGCCAAGAGTAACATGGCAAATGTAAAAACATCACATTTTACTTAATGGTTGCAGCAGTGGAAATGGGTGCCTGTGAAATTGTGCGTGTGCAGAAGTAATCTAGATTAATTCATTTTATAAGCATCATGAGAAATATTCAAATTTCTAGAATGAATAAACTGGCTGAATGACGCTCATTTGCAAAAAGACTCATTGAGAAATTAAGAAAGATTAAGAAATTTGACCAGTCCCTTTAACAATGGCTGAAAGCAATCACCAAAACTTTAAATGTGGTTAAACCTCTATTGTGGTCTTTATGATTCTCTTGGAGGTCCTGGTTAAACATTTACTGGACTTTCTCACATTGTAACTTTTGAACAACAGTGTTAAAATCCTTCCTTATAGGATTTAAATAGGGACTCAGATTTGATTCAGTTTAGTTCAATTTTATTTGTATAGTGTATTTCCACAACATTACATTGTCTCAAAATACTTTACATTATCCCTGCCCAAAGACTGGAGTATGTGAAGACAATCAGTCGTACTCATGAGATATTCCAATTTAACTATGAGACCTCCCAGAGTAATATACACCTTCTTTTGTAATTCCCAGACCTCCCAGAGTTAGACACACCTTCCAGAGTAACTCCCAGAGTAGCATATATCTTCCAGAGTAGCTCCCAGACATCTCACTTTCCAGAGTAACCCCCACACCTTCCAGAGAAATTCCCAGACCTTCCCGAGTAATTCCCAGCACTCCAAGTGTAACACTCACCTTCCAGAGTAACTCTGAGACAACCCTGAGTAACAAACAATTTTCAGAGTAATTCCCAGCCCTTCAAGTGTAACTCCCAGACCTCCCAGAGTAACAAACAATTTTCAGAGTAATTCCCAGCCCTTCAAGTGTAACTCCCAGACCTCCCAGAGTGACAAACATCTTTCAGAGTAATTCCCAGCCCATCCAGTGTAACTCCCAGACCTCCAAAAGCAACACACACCTTTCATAGTAATTCCCAGCCCTTCCAGTGTAACTCCCAGAGTAACACACACCTTTCAAAGTAATTCCCAACCCTTCCAGTGTAACTCCCAGATCTCCCAGAGTAACACATACCTTTCAGAGTAATTCCCAGCCCTTCCAGTGTAACTAGCAGCCCTTCAAATTTATCCCTGAATTGCTACTGATATGAATGTTTAACTTCTGGAGTTCAAAAAATAACAGAAGATTATTAAGAAGATGGAAATTCAGGGGGAAAACCCAATTTACACAAACACAATGGACACTGCAAAAAACAAGTACCTCATTCCTAGCATTTTTCTCTGAATTTTATTTACAAAAACATTTATTCAAGATTTTCAGTCTGGAAATGAGTGACATTTGGAACTTCTCACCAGTCCTTGACTCTTTTATGTTGACAACAACAGACAATAATAAGAATATGGGCCATTCAAGCAGACCAAATCTGACAACCGCTTGCTGTTTTTGCAGTCTGAAAATGTCGAGGCTTTAGTTTTATACCCGGCCAGCTGTTAATCTTTGTTTTAAAGTTATGGTACTGTCTCTGTGAGATAAACTGTATGTTCGGAAAGCACCGGTCAGGTCAGGGAAGGGCACAGCAACGGCCTGACAAATTACTGTCATTAGGAGCAGCTGGCGGAAGTTGTCTGAGATCTGCCTCCATCGCCATCATAATGCAAACTTAAGCAGAACTAAAACAGTGGTGGCTTCCAGCTAGCAGTCACACAAACACACACAGAAGCAAACAGCTTCATGGCGCCCATTATAAGAGGGTGAATAAGCGGAGCATAAGCTGCAAAGCCTTGTTGGAGCTATCGATTAAAATTAAAACGCTGCACCTAACGACACAAAAGTAAAACGTTAAATTTGTGAGTGAACTTGGTAAAAGCTACATGAATTTTCCAAAACCATTGTAAAACCAAACTTTGATGTTAGTCACGATATACAGACATAAGTACACATTTGCATAGGTAAGTAAGGATATTGTGTTGTCCAACAAATGCAAAACGTTTTATCAAATCTATCAATGGACAGTTGTCTGCAGAAATCCAACATTACACCAAATACCAAGTTTTTTTCTATTGTACATCACTCGATTAACAAGTTGATTTCTTCCATGGACTGGGACAATTGCATCTGAGATCATTTATGTATAAATATTTCAGGCTTCATTAGGTTTATTTTTAAACTTTTGTCCTAAACTGAGTATATGTATCACATTAAAGCAAAGGATTGCTTGCAAGCAACAGTGAAAGCTGTAAATGTGGATGCCCAGGAAAACCTCTCTCTCCTTGAGAAATTCTCTCATTTTTGGGTGATATGTATAACATTGTATCTACCCGTGTTTAATTAAGTGCTGCCACAAAGGAAGTACCCTTTCAATGGAGTCTTCATTTCCTGAACAGGCCATGGATAAAGAATAACAAATGCAAGTGAAAAACGAATTCCAAGCTACGTGTTTCATGAAGTACGCTAAATTCATAGAATCCTACAGGTACATAATGTTAAAACACATATTTACACTTTCCATTAGATCATTTATTTCACATACTTTCCATTAACTTGATTATTGCTTGAGAGCGTGTTGGCACTGCTATATGCTTGAGGTATAAACAGCAGATTTCATGGAAGCATCTGAGTGGGATGCTGATCAGCTACTCAAGTCTCCCAACCCTCCACTTCCACCACGAAGGGCTCCTTGACTTCTATTTTGCCGCTGTTCACAATCACACATTCTGTGTAAGGCAGGTTTCTGTCGTTGGTGTCCTGGAGCTCAATGGTATGAACTACAGACTGAAAGGATAAGAATACAGTGAATGTCATGGATATACAGAAAAGATTCACAACTAGTATGGACCACTTGTGGTCTGTTGGGTCTTGTCTTCTGGGTTTTGTCCATTGGAGCAATCCATTGGATTCACCTCAGAGGGAGTCAGTCATAGGTAAAATGCTCATAAACATACAGGTTTGAAGCCCCAGAGGAACGGCACCTCAAGAAGGATTCCCCAGTTTCAGTCCTGGAAGGGGAATCAGCAACACAGTTTGCAGTCTTCCCTACTCAAATACACCTTGGGTGTTTCTCAATACCAAGAACGCAAAGATTGTATTTGAGGTCTTGGCAAGACCGCTAACTTGCCTCCCAAGAATGAACAATCATGGGATTGATATTTGGGACAGGGCAAGAATGACATCCAGGGATTTTTACCGTCCTCTGTAGGTGTGTCTTAGCAGGGAAATCTGCAAACTGTGGTGCAAACCAGCCCCCCAGGACTGGAATTGGGGAACTCTGACCTAAAGTCTTTCCTCTATGAGTATGAAACCTACCATGCCTTCTAAGACCTTCCCAAAGACCACGTGCTTGCCGTCCAGCCATGGTGCCCGGACGGAGGTTATGAAGAACTGCGAGCCGTTGGTGTCAGGCCCCGAGTTGGCCATGCTGACCCAGCCTGCACCCACATGCTTCAGCTTGAAGTTCTCATCAGGGAACGTCTTACCGTAGCTACTTTTACCTGAAGCGAAAGGAATCAAGTACTCTTCAGTATGTGGGAGGCAAGCGGCAGGAAAGATCCTGCCATCGAGTGGTCCTTCAGATGCGGGCAAGCATGGGAGGCTGATATCTGGACATAGCAACCATTACTAAGGGCAAACCAAGTGTGATGCTAGTGTGATGTGGGGATGAAGGATTCCAAGCCATATTATTACGCCATTAAATATCATGCAAAATACCTCCCCACCCCCATGCTGGACAGTGGTTGGTGCCAGAGTTAATATGTATACCTCCGGTTCCATCTCCTGCTGTAAAATCCCCGCCTTGGATCATGAAGTCCTTGATTACACGGTGGAACCTGCTCCCCTTGTATCCGTACCCATTCTGCAAGAAGAGGCCATTTTGCAGGGTTCGACACGCGAAGAGTAATGACCCCCATTACTGGTTCATTGTGTTTGGAACAAATGCAGCGACTTGATCCTAATCCACACCTCTGGAATATTCTTATGAGAACCTTTATAGCTTAACCGAGGGTTTTGGAAAAATCCATCCATCATCTGCTCATTCAGTACAACACAAGGGTACAAGGCATTGAGCATAAGGGTATAAGGCATTGAGCATAAGGGTATAAGGCATTGAGCATAAGGGTACAAGGCAGGGGAACACCCTAGGCGAGATGTTAACACACTGCCTGGCACAGCGTTACATTAATGTCTTTTACAATTTTGAACACTGAAAAAAAATGTGATTTATAACATATATTTTAACTTGGCATTTCCTCAAAAGGCAAAGTGGTCCTCAAAGTCTGAAATTTACGTGACCGTCAAGGTTTTCACTTTAATGTGCGACACTTTGGCAAAATTAATGAGACACAGTGGGCAGACTATGTCATTGCACTTGTGCTACCCATCTCAAAAATGACCAATCGCAGCCTCTTCTCAACACCCTCGGCAGACACAGATATTGTTACATTATACCGAATGTGTTACACTGGGGGCACGCACCTCGCCTGTGGCCAGAGCCACAAAATTATTGGCAGTCTTGGGGGCGACGTCTCCGAAGAGGCCTATTACAATCCTGCCAACCTCGTGTCCGCCCACCGTGATGTCAAAGAAGACCTTCAAGCAAAAAAAGAGAAACGGAACCACATTAAATATACTACAATGCACCAAGAGAACAATCACTGTGGGGGAGGGGCCTGTGCTTCTCTCCTGAAATCTGTAGATGATTGGAGGCACGTTTGTGAATAGCACTGACCAAGTCCAAAGCAGCACTGAAGATACCACCACTTAGAAGCCATAGGTGCCTGGAAACACGTACTTGGAGCTTCTTGAACTAGAGTGACTAGATAATCCATATCGGGGGGGGGGCACTATGTGCTACTTCAGGTTTTACAAACTACTTTAAAACTGAAAGGCTCCTGTGCTCGGCTAAATAGTTCAGCTCTTCTAGTACTTTTACTGGTTTGTTTCCTTGACTGAAAGACTCATCCAGCTGTTTCACATTAACATCAGTGACACATGCATGATTATAGGAGACCAATCAGCACACAGCTGGAACTGAGTGCTTAAGTGAAATCCATGTACTTTTAATAGAAATGGTAGTTTATAAATCTTGTCCTTGATCAAAGTGCCCTCCCTGATATGGATTATCTGGTCACCCTACCTTAAACTCATCTTTGCAAATGAGGTGTAGATATTTCATTGCTGTAACCTGTAATTTAGAATTATTATAAAACTTTTAGTTACAATTCTTCCTTCAGCATTTTACCCAATGGAACAACCTTGGTCTGTTTCTATAACCTACCTCTACAGTGTGTATAATCCTAATTTTGATTTGATTTCTCTTCCAAGACGGCCTTCAGAGCAGGGGCATACCTGGAAATTCTGGGGGCCCTGATAAAATGCTACCTTGCCCCCCCCCCCCCCCCCCCCCCAAAAAAATTTTACATACTCACTGGCCCTTGTCAAGTGCTGGGCCCCCTGAATCTGTCGGGTATCCATGCCCCTTGGACGGCCCTGCTTCACTGACTGCATTTCATTTCACAGATAAACAGAGTTTATTTGGCTCTGCATGTTTGACATTTCATAGAAGAATCTCAACCTACTTATCAGTGTTGAATGTAAAAACCTGTGATTTATCTTTAGGCCTTTTCTGAGATCGTAAATTACAGAAATAATAATTTACTTTGACTGGTGATTTATGAAAATGAATAGAAAAAATCAGTCAAGTACTGAAATAAATAATTATGTAAAGTTAAGCAAAATCTCTGTACATTTTCATTACATTTGATTTTCGGAATAATAAAACTAGCCCACACCGGCTTTCACTGTAAAACGTTCTTGCGTGAAATATCTAAGTGCTTTAATAGAGCATGACTTAGCAGTGCACGTTTAATTCAATCACAAGACCAGACTGTGTTTCTGTTATTGCTCGGAGTATTTGCCGTTTAAATGCAAAAATGAGCTTTATTTGGATTGCGGCGCGGTGAAGCAGTCCCATCACATTTGAATGAATGAATGCCGCATTGTCACATGATGAACATAATAATATGATTTCTTCTGCTATATATACCATACAAAGCCACCGTGTAGCCGCGCTTTGCCGTCAGACTCGGCTGCCGGACCTACAAACGTTGCACCTTCTCCCACACGCTTCGCCGCGATCCTTCTCTCCAGCCGCAGCAGACAACAGCAGCACAGCCGCGACATCTCAAACGTCACCTCGGCTTTCAGGCTGCAAGTCCATCCGGAGCAATATCCAACACAAAAGGATCCTCTCGCCGCATGGCTCATATATAAACGATTATTCAAATCGGAGCCCCCTTTGAGGAAGTGCAGTAACAATCATGCCGGCTTCCACTCACCGTTAACAATGAATGAACATTTTTATTTCGAATCGCCCGTATATGTGCCACAATTCAGTGTGCGATTGCCTTTGAGTCGCTGAAATGCCATGTGTGTTTAATGTATTCCTGACGGCCGGGCGACGTGACAGCAGCTGTGTAAAGACCTTAACCTTCTCCACCAAAGACGACATTCTCCACCTACCTTAACAGTAACCTTTGGGCCTCTTCTCTTGGAAAAAGCCGCATTTTGCGAAAACGAGAGTAAAATGAGCAGCGGGAAGATCGGTGACATTACTGACGTGCAGAAAGACGCACTGACGGTGCTCGGGCGCCTGGGAGGGGGGACCGCGGTGCGCGTGTTGCCTGTCTCCTCCAATGAGATGCCAAGGACGGAGTGATGGAGAAGATCCTTCACCCTTTACTGTGCGGTCTGCCGTCAAGTAGAGGCAACACGCCAGTCAAAAGGAGGTGCTAAAACTCCTTTTTTAGTTGTGATATTATTACTTGTAAACCAAAAAATCCTGGATATGAAATTAGGCTTTAGCATAGACCGGACATACCTCCATAATAATGTTACTTTTAAATTACAAAAAACGAATAAAAAAAAACCCAAACAAATAGACAAACAATTAAATAAATGCAAACATGATTTAGGTAAACAACAAAAAAAGAACACTGAAAAATCTTTATTATTAATTAAATCATATCCCTGTGTGTGAAGTAGCCCATTCCTGACTACTTACATTCTTTATGCATCCTTTGTTTAGTTGGAGGAATCGCTAGAAATTCCAGCCCCCATGAAATATTGTGCCCATGGGTAGTGCTGGTCCCCAGAATCTGCCAGGGTGTCCGTGCCCCTCCGACACCCAGGCTATAGGCCAGCATTGCCATGTGACTTACATGTCATACCAGCGGTGACAAAGGTGTAGAATGAAAGGAAATCAGATGACCTAGGATGTGTTTTGTGGAAAGGAAAATCATGTGTCTACCTAAGGTTACTTGAATAACCAGTGCGTGCACTACGAATATCAATGCTTATTCTGCAAATGTGTAATTATACACTTGATAGGATAAGGAGGTTCATGTTGTGGTCAACTGAGGGGTCTTGGGAGACCAGCAGAACGGACACCCAAACCTGGGAAAATATGGGATGGATTCAGGGAGCATCATCTGCACTTTGTCAAAGCTGGTTGTCTTCTTTGATGAGCACAGGCCAAACCCAGGAAGGGCAGAAGGACGGCTATGCAGTCATATGATGTCATAAAGTATGAAAGTAGCTGGCCCAAATAGAAAGGAAAGTCCCTATGAGAAAGAAAATGGATTTTGGAGAGCTTGCCTAGAAATATATCACTTAAACATGTATTCTCATAGCAAAGTGAGTAGCCTATTGTAACCTATGTGCTAGTTTATTGGGTCTTTATAAAGACACACTCCTGTAAAACATGATACTGCATCCATGAAGTCTCTCATGTTCTGATTATAAGGGGATCAGGAATCCATCAAAAAGTAATAAAGACAGCAGAACCTATAAAAAGGGAAAGCAGAGGTAGATAAACCTGTTCAGTAGATAACCAAGACATGAGAAAGGACACAGGTGGATCAAACAACTAGCGCAGTGCTCAAGGGTACTGAAATGGCAGACTCTGGTCCGGATCAGGATCGGGACACAATATAATCTGGACTGCACATCTGACCCCCCCTCCATGTCAGATGGGGTCGGTTGGCTCCGTGTAACTGATGCAATTTGGACCTCTGGGAAAAATAAATTAGTAGTAGTATATAAAAAAGGGAGGGAACCCTCCTGATGTCTGTATTCAGCTCAGCTGTCTGCAGTGTCTATGCACCCTTTGTCAAGAATACAGGAACAATGAACTTAAACTCAAACTGCCCTGTAATCTTATCTAAGACTGTGTTCAACCTCATAGATACTATAGATACTTATAGGTACTATAGATACTTATAGATACTTATAGGTACTGTTTCTTGATCTCTATCCTCCTGCTTTGTACCTGCTTTAAATTTGTTTCTGTAGGGTGCCGTTGTAGTGGCTGTCTCTGTGAGGCAAGTGTGTCCACTTCTTGTGTTTTCTCCAATTGTCTCCCTACAGACCACAGACAGGGTGATGTAAGTTGTCAGTGATAGCCTCCTGAGTGGACTCCATGATGAGCACTGCAACAAAGAAAAATGTCCGCAATCGGCAGTTTTGACAATAGCACTCTCTAAATGTAAAAATTCCAACAATCAAGGATTTAGCCAATCATATAGTAGGATGGCAAGATGCCCTGTTCCATTCAGCATAATATACTGAGCCAGGAGGAGTGTATCATTTTAATGTCATTCATTCATTCCCATATTTGGGAATAATTCCTCAAATACCTAGAGGCAAGACACCTAATAGTACAGTCACATTCTCATTGTGCATGAGTCCTGTTAGAATGCTTAGTGTTTAAGAGTCCTGTTTCAGTTCTCAGTGTGTAAAGGTCCTCTTTTAATTCTCCTTGTGTGACAGTCCTGTTTGAGGTCTTAGTGTTTAAGAGTCCTGTTTCAGTTCTCAGTGTGTAAAGGTCCTCTTTTAATTCTCCTTGTGTGGCAGTGCTATTTGAGGTCTTAGTGTGCAAGAGTCCTGTTTGAGGTCTCAGTGTGTAACGGTCCTATTTTATTTCTCCATGTGTGACAGTCCTGTTTGAGGTCTCAGTTTGTAAGAGTTGTTTGAGTTCTCAGTATTTCACAGTCCAGTTTGAATTCTTAATGTGTAAGAGTTCTGTTTATGTTCTCAGTATTCAACAGTCCAATTTGAGTTTTCAGTGTGTAAGAGTTCTGTTTGAGTTTTCAATATTTGACAGTCCAGTCTGAGTTCTCAGTGTGTAAGAGTTCTGTTTACGTTCTCAGTATTTAACAGTCCAGTTTGAGTTCTCAGTGTGTAAGAGTTCTGTTTACGTTCTCCATGTTTAACAGTCCAGTTTGAGTTCTCAGTGTGTAACAATCCTACTTGAATTTTCAGTGCATAATAGTTATGTTTCATTTCTCATTGTGTAAAAATTCTGTTTGACATCTCAGTAACAGTCCTGTTTAAGTTCTAGGTGTGTCACAGTCCTGCTTGAGTTCTCAGTGTGTAAGTTTCCAAGCAGCATTTGTAGATTTACTTAATCTGAGTGAAGATCCTTCTGTTGGATACATACTTGAGCATGGACAGATAAAGAAACAAATCAGGAGGTTACTTTCGTATTATTACTAGTGGTGAAACGAATTAAAACACAAAATATTTACGGTTTCAGAATTGATAGTTTTCTTTAGAAATTATTTTATTTTGGTACGTTCAGTGTTGTAATTGTCAGGGTTAATGAGTGAAGCTAATCAGTTATTTCTCCTGGGAAAAAAAAAATTAAGCCTTTGTAGTATAAAACACGAGTGACTCCTCTGTAAGTCGTTCATAATTTCTAACTCTTTACTGAAAGTGTACATGAGTATAGATCTATACTGGCTGTACCCCACTGTCAGTCAAAGAGGACATTAAGGGAGAGGCTGGTGCTATTTGCACACTCGTGCACGTGTGTGTGTGCGCGTGTGTGATGCACAGGTAGCTGGTGAGGCATGCAGCCCCCAGAGCTGAACAGCTCCAGTGTCCCACCACAGCCTGCTGGAATGAGCCAGCTAAAGCCGAACATAAAGCACAACTGATCAAGCCGCTGTGCGTGAATTCTAATGTTTTTTTTGGGACCTTTTAATAAATAAAATGTACCTTTATAAGCCTTATTCTGAGTCCCAGGGTCTGATAAGAGCCGTGATTGATTAATTCTGTCTAAGCCCATTTAAAATACTTTGCTTTTTAAGTTACTGTTAAGCCCAAAGGCACAGTGGTTTTGATGAGAGTTGTTATAGCAGCATTTAGAATTGGTGTGAAACACTGCAGCCCCCCCTGGCCAACAGCCCCAGAGGGCTAGCAGGAAAATGATAAGATTTTCTTTTTGTCCTTTCTACAATAGTATCCAGTTTGCCCCAGATAAGAAGTAAGATTGACTTAATGGTCTTGTGGAGCTTATAGGACAGAGGGAAGCATACAGCTGAAGTCCCGGAGGGCAGAGTCTTTATTCCGAAAGGTGATCTACTGAATCCAGTAAGTCCAGTGATTAACTTCATTGTAAAATTGAATTTTTTATTATTGTGATTATTTTTGTTCATCTTATGAACATCAACATCACCCTCAACTGAAATGCTACTACTATTAATAAAAATAACAACAACAATAATGATAATTATTATAATTATTATGGCTAAGCGTCACACTCAATAGGATAAACGGGGATTAAAAAATATTTGATTCATTCAGTATTTCAGCAACAAGTCAGTGAGATTTGTAAAGATATTTTTAAAAGCACAAAATCCCAAAATTACATGAAGCAGCTTTCAGTCTCTAATGAGCCTAAACACGGTCGTTTTGTGAGGTTTAATTCCGTTGAAGAAGCGTTTTCAAAGTTTACGAATTCGTGTGCATTGACAGCCAGGGTCGCTGCGCCCCCTTGGGTTGGTCTCCGTGTCGCCGCTGAATTCTCATGGCTGGAGCTGCGCGCATCGCTAACAGATTCACTCTCTTATTCGGTGAAAATGATCGGACTAATTTTATTACTGACGCAGCTTATCTGCGTCACAGATACGTTCAGAAACAGTGTTAGGACGCCTTTTGTCTAACGAGTATAATTATTAGAAATTCGCTAACCGAAACCGTAAAAATATACTGTTAGCAATGTTATAATTTCAAATAACACAATAATCAATGATCATTTATTTTTTTTTAATGAAAATGGAGTTCAAACGTCAATTAACAAAGGCTATAAAAATAACATTTAAAAAATCAGTTGCGAATGAATTTGCTTCAGATTTTTTATCAGAATATCTGAGAAAAAATGCGTTTGATATTTGAATGAAAACTGACATACCACATATATGTATAAAAATAATTATTTTGCATGGAAATTACGCGTTTTACTTTGATTATGCATAAAACGTTATGGTTTTCCTAAATGCTGACATGCGGAAATCTCTGGCCTACTGATTTTATTTTTTTTTTAAATGTATTTTTGCCGGGCCAGAATATTGACGAGCATGGCATAAGCGGTAAATAGCTGTTACTATAAATAAATATCCAAAATATGTTTAAAACATGTTAGGCAGGCCGATATCAAGGGCATTTATTTCACGCTTGCCGAACACTTACGCCTGATGGAAGAAGTTTAAACCTGATGATGCAAAGAAATTGCGTATCACCAAGTCCCATCTGAATATACGTCTATATTAATGAATTATATACCCAGCAACCCATGACCTTAGCACCATAATCAGGAGACACCCGGGGCACCGAGAGAGGCGGCTGAATTCTTTATCGGACTCCTGTCAAAGTAGCCCGTCCATTTGTCTTGCAGCCATCAGGCGAATTAATTAACAAGAAATGTAAACGTTTTAATTGAATGTCAAACGGCATACAGTATGCAAATACAGGAGACACCTATCCCAGCGCTTTAAAGTCAAGTATGCAAATATATAAACCCGTTATGCCGTGGATACAATATGGCTCAATAATTACATTATTTTTCCAAAGAAAATGATGAATTTCGGCAGTTAATTTATTGATCCAAGCTCCCACTCCAGCGTGTTTTACTTTAGCCATCATTAATCAATCAAAAAACACCCTACGTATTCCCTATAATTGCATTGTACTCATTTTAACAAAAAAATTCGTGTAGGAAATAAGTTCGAATTGGGTTTCCCCACAACAGAAAATTTCACTTTTTTTTTTAATCATCAGCTTATACTATACCTAATGGTTATAATGATTGTACTTAGCGTAGTGCTGTATACATACAGGCATAATTTAATCCTTATATGTCCGCGTAATTACTCTCGCTCTTTTAAAAAACGAAAACAACAAAAGAATGTAGCGAGGGTACGAAACGTGATCCTAAAATAAACCGAACACACATAACTGACATACTTTTTCAAAGTCCACATATTTTGCGAGGCCCAAATAAAAAATGTAATAATTATTATTATTACAATTATTAGGCCTATTATTGCAACTACTACTGGCCATTGCCAGGTAAAATAGTGCAGGATGTTTTACAAATATGCCTAATAATTAGGGAGAAACAAAATGACTTACTGCGTTCGCGGTTAAAATGTAATAAATATAATCTGTTGGAGTTAACGGTCCACGAAGACCGTGACATACACGCTCGCTGTGGCGGGGTTCAGCTCCCAGGGGGCCTAGTTAACGGACAGCTTCTCCATTCGCACGCTTCCAAAGCATTGCAAATATTTTCACTGCTTTCAGTTAATATTGGTAATGACAGACATGATTTGCGACGAAACACTGTTTTTATAAATGCAAGTGTACGTGATATTACATGAACGCACTGTAAAGTACGGGAACGTTTTCAACTTTAGCGGGTATTGACCTATCGAGGGCTGTTTTAAAGAGAAACTATACGTTTCCTAAATCAGCATCCGACGTAGGGGTAGATCCCAGATAACGGCTGTCTGAATACATGTGTAAAAGCAGCGCGCTAAACTGTTATTAATTAAATGCCCCACAGTGACAAATTTGATCGATGTAAAGTGTGAACAATAAAAACTGCACTTGTCCCGGTTCAAGCCGCGGAGGGCTGACTGGGAAACGCGCTGCAGTCCTCCGAAGAAAAATGCCTTTAATGTACGAGGACATTTGGTGTCTGTGTTATTACTCACATTCTTGTACAGTGAAATGGTGGTTTCTTAGACTAAGAATTCATTTTCAGACGATTATGTTTGTGTTTTGCTTTGCTATCACTCCGCAGAGGGCGAGAGATGACGGATGGCCTTGTCAAATTGACGCCAGTCAAAACATTTTAGCGCCACTCTGGAAAGAATCGCGCAAACGGCCCAGATTTAGACACGCAGACACTATCTCAGCAGCAGTAACTTTCTCAAGCGTCTGAGGGCGGCTGGGAAACGCCGGGTTTCGGTAACGACTGTGCGTAGCGCAATCTGCAGGAAGCAATACATCATAAATAAAACATCGACGCGTAACACTTATTAAATAAATACAACTAAATAACAATGACTCAATCTGAGTATTTTTATGAAAACCTTGTCCTGATGTGCACTCTTATTCTAGGCCTATTAAATGCACTATTTTCAATAATTATTTACAAATACAGCACCTTAAATTTAAGTGACTCAAAACAGTGTACTGCAGCTTGTATTTTTCTGGCATGTTTTGCTTAAAGCTCGCCTAAGATTGTGTTTTAAAAGCCCCAAAAAATATAGGTAGAGTTTTGGCAGAGACAGATGTGCGCTGCATTTTCGGGCCGGTAAGAGCACCACGTCCCGAGCGTGTTGTGCTGTCGTAAAACCCACGTGTCCTTCCTGGAGGGGGGAGCTGATGTTGTACTTGAAACGGGGCTGGGGTAACAAACACGGCGAAGCGTCCAGTCTGCGCGATTATGGTGTAGCAGGCTGGGGAAAAAATTGGAAAGCGCTGCGAGGGGCGAATATTGCTTACTTTTCCCGTAAACTGGGTGAGTGTAACTTTGCTTTTGATCTCAGTATACCAATATTGGGAAAAGAAATGTAGACGTTAACTCGTAAAAGTATGCGCATCGTCGATTGTTCGACTCAGCCCAGGATCTTTATGGAGCCGGGGAGGATTATGGAATTTATACGAAGTAGTGAACGCCGCGAGACCTATATGTTCCATGCATGCATTTAACTTTGCATGCTATAATATTATAATTTTAATTATTATTATTACTAATACTACAACTACTATTACTTCTACTGGGGTTATTAGATGACCAGTGCACGTTGTTTGCTTTATTAATACTTGTACTTGAAGACATTGCAAACAATTTATCGATAACTAGTTATTAAATATTTGTTGAAAATGTTTTGAAATCTTCGCCTAACTGGTTTCTTATGTGGACAGTTTGCACCCAATACTTTCGAAGGCAAAACTAGTTAAATGAAATAGATTAAAATGAATAAGTTACTTAACCAATATAAAACGGGAGTTTCACTTTTCGTATTAAGAATTTTATATACATATATATGTATACAATATATATATATATATATATATATATATATATATATATATATATATATATATAAACTTACAGTTTGTCTCGCGTTGCAGCCGCGCTTGGAGATGCTGAAACCCGGTGACCCGAGCGGATCTGCTTTTCTAAAAGTGGACCCGTCGTACATCCAGCACTGGCAGCAGCTTTTCCCCCAAAGCCAGCTGAAGAACGGGACCCTTGCGCAGCTCCAGCCGCCCGAGAGGACGCCTATTTCAGTGGAAAGTCTCCGCCAGCGCCCCAGCCTCATCTCTTCCGCCTCGGCGGCTTTGACGCCGTCCTCGACCTCTTCCACCACTTCGGTATCGTCGCTCGCTGGTCTTACTCAGATATCCGTGCCGCAGATAACACTTTTCGGACAGACGCTATGCAGCGACATCCCCTCATCAGCGAACACCAACCCCCAGCCAAAAGACGTTTGTTTGCAGACCAGCAGTAAAAATGACAGAGGATCAAGGTTTAAATTCACTTCCGAGGAGTTAGATTACTACCTCTACGGACAGCAGAGGATGGAGATAATTCCGCTGAACAACCACGCCGGCGACCCCAATAATCGTATGTATATAAACATAAATATTTACATGTGTGTCTAAGCAATTGAATCACTTGTAGATTATACCGGCATGTTTGCAGAAACGGAAACTTTGTTTTGTATTATAGGGCTAGATTAATGCCCATGTAAATTAAATATGCGGCCGAATGCTCAATATTATTAAAGGTCCATTCCTATAGTAACAATAAAAAATAACAGATTTTAATATAAATATTTGCCTGCTGCTGACTGCCTAAAGCAGCAACGTGAATAACATTTTCGCAGTAAATATTTATTCAGCATTGGACGAGTGCGGAAAATGTAAGGCCGCTATGATTATCATTTAAATTAAACCAAAATGTCTTGAAAGTTCCCTCCTGTTCACTGTTTATTCAGAATGGGGCGTTTTAAAATTGCCTGATTATTCCATTCCCTAAAACACAACTTATTGTTATCATAAAATTGCGGTTATATTTCAGGTTTAGTCAACAATTATTCTAACATTTTCTTTAAATAAGTTCATTTTGAATGTTATAATATGCGTTGTGATCATTATTTTAAACGCTGTTTTGTATGCGCGTGCTGTCGCATGTGTGTGATGGTCACTGCAGTAAATGACATTAATTATATAAATAAGCATGTTTGAAGTGAAAATAAACTCAATTGAAGAGTTAGAAGAGGGCCAGTTTCAACAGTGATGGGCTGTTTCTTCCGCCTTTGGATATAGTTTTGACAAGAAATGCAGATCAAAGTAAAAAAATAAGTGCCTTATGTTCAGCACAATGATATTAAAAGTCACTTTTAACAAGATCCATAAAATGTTCTGTAAATAGGCCTAACATTCATTGTGGTCAGATTAATTTGTCAAATTCAATGGGAAAATTGAAGAATTGCGAATAGCGAAGAAGCAGCAACCGTAAATAGACGAAACGAAATTGGAATTTTAAATACTATTTAGTGGTAGGCCTGTGTCGTGTGTCATTTCCCGATCTGCACTTTTTAGAATGATGTGCATCGCTTAAAAAAAATAAAAAATAATTATATATATATAATGACGAACAGCAAATGATTGTTTTTAAGGCATGACATCATCATGCCCTGCAGTTTATGAATATATTAATTGACACACTCCATACGTCTACATGAAAATATAAAAACAGAAATACCTAAAAAATTGTATATATTCAAGGTTGCATATGGAAAATATTATTAATATAATAAAAATTAAATATGATTTGTTATAGAATTAGTGGCTTTTAAAATATACCATTCATCCTCCAAACTGTGTACGATAAACATGGCAAAAGAGATAGATATAAGGCGCTATTTTAAAGCGAGGTTTAAAAAAGGGGTGACTGTTTATTTAAGGTGATAAAACGGCCCATCAGCAGTAATCTCCATCGATATGTGCCACAAGGAGATGAAGTATGGGGGGACAAGCCACAATTAATTGCTGTATAGTTTTGTAGAAGAGAGTAGAGTGAGTGTGGATCAGAGATCGATCTCCTCCATCGGCCTCTATTCATCATCCGAACATGGTATATGGGAGTCTCTGGGGACGTGGAGACTACTTTATCTACGTTCAGTGCTCCCGGCCCATATTTCAAAGCCACCTCAGTCATTTTTAACGCGACCAAAGTCTGTATTAGACAAGGAAACACATAATTCGCCCTGATGCTTTATTTGCGTGGTTTCCCGTTGCGAATGAGATCAGCGGCGCTCACCTCCGGGTGGACAAGCGAAATTACGCGCCGTAGAGGGCAGTTTGGGGGGTGTTCAGCTGAAGCCAGATACCTAGGCACTAAACAGCGGGACCATTAATTTCAATAAAGTGTGTCCTGCCTGCGGGCTATTCCTTATCAGGTGTTGTTATAGTAAATTATGTAGATTAACAAAAAAGTTAAAAACCGTAAAATTGGTTGCGCTATCAGTGTTTTAAGGTTATTGGCGAGTGAGACGTGGGTGAAATGAGCCGTTCAGTTCAAGGCAATGAATTGACCTTTAAACTGAATTATTTTAAATATTAACGTAAATAAGTTTTTATTTGGCAGGTTCAAAAAGTTAATTACACGAAACTTAAGGCGATATTTCCGCATGTATAGGCCTACGTAGTGGTGAACACAATAGAAAGTGTGTGTGTGTGTGTGTGCGTATATATATATATATATATATATATATATATATATATACACAGTATATAAAAGAAGTTTTTTTTTTTTTAATTTCATCCATTTACCGTTGTTACCACTAAGGCCGTTAACGCAGGAATAAAACAAAATAATTACGTTAATATAATTTCGGCTTGATCCATTTGATGCAAGACGCACAATTTTGAAAGAATTGTTTTATTTAAAGGCGGCTATACGAAATATGCACCCATTTGGCTGGATAATTCCTACTAAAAAGTGGAGGCTGTATGTTATGATCCATATTATTAATAATTTAAAATTAATAACAGGTAATGCATATTGACAAACCATTTAACTGCACCTACAATGTAAAACAAACAACAACAAGCAAACCAAAACAAAATAAATGAATGGCAAGTCTCCTTTAATTTTGCGGCAGATGTGATTTTCATATAGCTGTGCGACATTTCAGTTTGCCCAGAAGAAGCATCAATGAAGCATCTTGCTGTTGTGTAGGCAGCCATAGGATCAGGCCGTTTGTGCTAAAAGCTCCACGCTCTTAGCGAACTTGGTGGCGTGGCTTCATGCAGGAACGGAACCAGGTCGTGTGTGACCGCTGTGACACCACTGTCCCCCACCCCCATCCTCGTAGGCTGCGACATGTGTGCGGACAACCGGAACGGAGAATGCCCCATGCATGGCCCCCTGCACTCGCTGCGCCGGCTAGTGGGGACCAGCAGTGCGTCGGCCGTGGTGCCGCCCCCTGAGGTGCCCGAGTGGCTGCGCGACCTGCCCCGCGAGGTCTGCCTCTGCACCAGCACCGTGCCCGGCCTGGGTTACGGCATCTGTGCTGCTCAGCGCATCCCCCAGGGCACCTGGATCGGGCCCTTCCAGGGGGTGCCGCTGCTTCTGGACAAGGTGCAGGCAGGAATCACCCGGAACACACGGCACCTGTGGGAGGTGAGTCTGCCGTGGTCTGCGTATAGTCCTCACATGGTCTGTATATGGGACCCACATGGTCAATGTATGGAACCACATGGTCCGTGTACAGTCCTCACATGGTCTGTATATGGGACCCACATGGTCAGTGTATGGAACCACATGGTCCGTGTACAGTCCTCACGTGGTCTGTATATGGGACCCACATGGTCAGTGTATGGAACCACATGGTCCGTGTACAGTCCTCACATGGTCAGTGTATAGGACCCACGTGGTCTGTGTGTAGTACCCACATGATCCGTGCGTGGTACCCACGTGATATGTGCGTGGTTCCTACATGGTTCGTGTGTGGACTGCAGTATTGCTGTGGTAGTTATCCACCAGAAGGTCATGGGCTTCCCATACTGTGAAACTCTCCCTGTGCTCACGTTCCACTTGAGGGTGTAAAGACAATCAGCACAGCACTGCCTCTCGATAGCGAGGACCTGCGGCTCGGCCTTACTTATGGATACCGTGACACTTCCACCGTCGTCCGCTGCTATGGTGGCCCTAGTGTTTGGAACACAAGTGAGAGTTACATCTGAACAATATTTAGGGAAAAAATCAATGCATTCTTCCTTTAATGGGTACATTTAATGACAGACCCGACAGCAGTCAGCTCTCTTAAAGCAGTGTAACAGTAATCTGTGTGATTTATTTACAACCCCATGGTAAACAACCTGATGTCACACACAGGCTACTGGCATCCAGACCTGGACGCACAGGTCTTGACCGTTTGTGGCCCCCTTATACATGAACAGGGTTTAATGTTCAGGTCACTCTTCTGTCTTATATCCAGAGCCTGAGAAATAGTGGCTATATTCAAATGATTAACAGGCACTGTCTGACAGCCTCTTTGATGAAACTCCACTCCGTACCTTTCCAGGGCCCAGTTCAAATCAATGCTTTTATAAGGCCCCCGCTATACTGCTATATGCTATACTCATAAGCTAGAAAAACCTTTAATTGGTCTGGCAAAAGGTGTAGATGGAAGCATTGCCGGAAAGGCTCATTGGAGGGTCAACCTGTCAGTCAGTTTTGGGCTGCCAATCCTGTGCCATCCACAAGCACTGAGTGGCTGTAAAAATTCCAGCCTTTTAAACAAAGCTGGGCTGTGTGGAGGGGAGACAAGGCCAACGCTTACATGTGTTGCACTATTTTATGATAGTATTCATCTGGTTAGAGGGCAGTGGCCTTAAAAATGCTGCATGTTGCCAGTTCATACAGCAGAGCATTAAGGGGACACACAGCAAATCCATCCTGGAACCTGCGTGTTTTTGTTCTTGGATGTGAACTGAAGGGTTGAGTCAGTCACCGCTAACAGAAGGACAGCGAGAATGGCTACCCCGAGTCAGAACCGGGGCGTAATTGACTGTGGGCCAGCTGTTGCTTTATTTAGTTACTTATAGGAGATGAAACAGATATCTTGGGGAAGAAGTTTTACATTTCCTGTCAACTGAAGCTGGGTATTTAGCGTTAGATCCCCTGCCTGTTCTCCAGCTGGACGCAGTGGGGATCGCGGAGAAATTTAGCACTTTTCAGGATGGGGGGGAATTTGTAATGGGGAGAGCCAATATGGGGTTTGTAGCTGTTTGTAGCTGTGGTGGTGGAATTCACTCGCAGTCACCGTGTTTTCTGTGTCACTGGTGCCTCCGGAACTGGAGGTATAACAGCGTGTATTAAAATCCCGGCACAGTGTGTCTGTCAATGTGCTGCCGAAATAACCAAGCACTCATTCAAGTCCTGGAGTGTTTGTGTTAGTCACTCTCTAGTCAGTTTTTAAGATGAATTAATTTCCTTTGTTCATTGGGGTATGAGGTGCGCTGCCTACAGGGGGTGGTGAGAGTGTTAGATGGATCACATGGAGTACATTTTGCACTCCTTGTGAGGCACCTGACCCCTGCTAAGCTCCGAAAGAGCGCCCCAGTGTTTGAGCAGTTAGACACCATCCCCATGCAGCACCGACTCACAACGTCCTCTCATCTGTATATGGGTGTGTGTTTGTGGGTTATGAATACATTACATTGTGGGAACTAAATGTACCCACATTGTGATAAAAACCTGTAGTTTTGACCTTGAGGGAACAATTTTTTGGTCCCCACGAGAGGAAACTCATTTTTATAAAAATTTCCGATTGCAATCAAAAAACTAAAACTGCCAAAAGTTGTGTATTTTGTTTGGTTATTTATGGTTAAGGTTAAAGTTGTCATAGTTGGGATTAGGGTTATGCCCACAATGATATAGGCAATTCATCTGTGTGTGCATGTGTGTGTGTGTTTGTTTGTATACAAGCTTAATAAAGCGATTAGGACAGTGTACGGACAAAGTCCTACCTTGTATGTCCCATCATTTTATGTAAAAATATATATGTGCTTGTGATCAATTACTTTTTATGTGACCTAGAAAAGTAACTTGAACTGAATTCAGCTCAGATCATATATGCGTGAAAGTTGAAATTGTGATTTTCCGGATCTACAAGCTGTTAGCAATTTTTAAAAAATAGTTTTTAGTGTCTTTCTTTGAATTGGCTGATTGCGATGTTCGTATTTTCACCAGGTTTTGGTTGGTGGGACTGTCGTCCTACTTTACATTTTGGGTCATAGCATTATTTAAATCATCCCAGTCATCTCAATATCTTGGTATCAGACAGTGGATTCTGCATTAAGCATGTGATTACTTATCAAACACCATCGGCATAATAAAAAGTATATTTTTCTGTTAAAGCTAAATCATCTTGACTTTCAGGGGTATTTATTGAAGATCATAATTAGTATAATGTTTGTTTTTGAGATTTACAATGCATTGTTTTGTATATTTTATCAGTATAGTGAGCATTGAAGATTCTAATGTTACATTTTTATAATTGTCATTTCTAATATTATTGATTTATATTTTCCCCTGTATATCACATGGTGATAACAAGTTTAAACGGCAAGTTTAAAATAACATTAAACATAAAATAGCAGCTAGACAGTGACCTCGTCTGTCACATGACCAAGTTTGGCACAGAGTTCACATGGTATCTGCGAGGACCTATTTCCTTGCTTTTCATTCTGCACTAATTGCAAGATCATTAGCAAGGAAAACACATTTTACAGCACTACATTCCCGTCTGACACCAATGAGGCATGTGCTAAGTCTGTAACAGATATTGTCTTCTTTTTATAAACCATATTCCAGTTTTAGGAAGGGAAACGGGAAAGAGCTTCATCCCAGTTTATGATGGATATCTGACTGGAGACATGCATGCGTGTGCAATGACACACTCTGCCAGCCATCACATAACGTGAGCTATAAATGTGTGATGGCCCCGGGCCCCGGGCCCGTCCTGAAAGCCTGTCAACGCACTATCCCTCTGACACACAGTGCCCTCAGAGCCATTGGCTTCCTGGCTGCACACTGAACCAGAGGCGCCCATTTCTGCTGAATGTCTTATCACTGAATTTTCTTCTCGCTCGGTTGGAATGAATCTCATTTCCTTTACTTCTGATCCCTTTAACTGTAAGACTGACCACCCACTAACCAGTCAGCATTACCCCCAGCTTCGCATGTGTCAACATTTCATTCATCTCACTGAAATGCAACGTTAACAATAATGTTAATGCCAAAAAAATGCTTTTTAAAAACACTGCTGAGAAGGACCTAATTGTGCATGACCTTAATTATGATTAATGACTAGGTTAATTTACTTAGAGCTTATGAGCAGATTAATATTTGAATGGAACTATCTTCTGTTTCAGCTTTGATTTCAATCCATGTTAGTTAGTTAGTTAGCTGATATCTGATTAATGTCTGAGGATACAGTCTTTCAAAATGTTGGCAAAAGTTACTGGCCCCTGGCAGCCTGTACAATGAGCGAAATCTGACAAACCCTAATAGAGGCAGAGAAGTTTTTAAAAGCTGTCCAGATCCTCCACTGTGTTTCCAAGTCACAAGAGTGATGAGGTAAAGGATCCCATTTTTAGTATCACAGTGTTGGAATAATCAGTGAAGAAAGAAAAATAACGACAGACCAGGTTCTGAGCCATGCTGCACACCTGTAGAAAAGGGGGGGGGTTGGGGGGAGGAGGATGTGTCTGACTGTGCAGATAATTATGGGATTCTTGGTCTGTTGGGGTTATGATACATGGAGATCCAGAAGGAAGGACTTTGTGAAATTTTGCAATTGAGATGGTGCAGGAGGAAGTGAAAGGATTAATGATGTGTAAAATGTAACTGTATAGTACAAGGCAAAACCGTTTGGTTGTTGAGAAGCAGATGAATGTAGTTGAGAAACAGGGTCAGACGAGATAAAGAGCAGGGCTGCTTGATTGGTCTGATGTAGAAATAGCAGCTGGCACACCTAGAGCATTCGGCATCACCTAGCACGTGCGATCCAATCCATGACATCACCACCTGGACCGGCAGCATCGGGTGTTCCTGGGAAATACAAAAGATCCCCGACCACATGCCAGGAAAATCATTTTTGTTTTGTACGGACCAGTATGGAGGTGACATGTTTAACACTGGTTCACTGGCTAAGAAAGCTACATAATTTGTCACTGAAGTTATTTTCTGGTCCATTTCCCTCGATCTGCGGCTGTGTTGTGTGAGAAAGCAGTGCGTTACGCTGGCCTGTTTTTATCAGCTCGCTCAGAATTTCCTATCTAAACATCTTCTTCTCAAATGTTATAAACATTTCTTTCAGGTTTATTTTTACAGTAGTGAAAACACGCAAAGCTGAAAGTTGAACCAATTTAGTTCGTATTAATGATATTTATTTGGGACCCAGTGAGAACATACTTTCTGAGCATTTATCTGTGATTTTTAAATGATTGCTAAGTGATTTATATCTGTTTCCCTAGTGGAATTTTTTTCCAGGACCTCAATCCAGAAGACTATCTGTTGTTACATCTTACACCTTCTGAATTTGTTTGTCTTGCTTATTTGAATAGCCTGATTTCCAGAAAAAAAAATCCACTCTATACCCACAGAATTCACAT